CCTCAGGTGTGACAGGCAGGCCGCACCAGGTGCCATTGATCAGAGGCAATCAAGGTGGAGCACTTAAAGCTGGCCGGAGGAGGAAAGCAGATGCCAGATGATTAAGCCACACAGCTTGGTAATCAGGTCAGCTCTGTGTTTCCTTGCGCTTCCCAGTGTTTCGCTCACAAGTAATGTTTTGTCTCGCAGTAGTCCCGACCTTCTGAGTTCCCAGGATCTCCCAGCGTCTTCCCTGAACCGTGGTGTCTGCTTCACCCAGTACTCCTCCTGGCTGCGGTGCTTCAGCCTTTTCATCCACGCCCTGTTGGATCCTCCTCTTCTCCACCTGCCTGTCCACCCTCGAGCCTCCAGCAAAATCTCAACCTCAGCCTGCCACACTCCCACACTGGACCTCACCTCCTCTCCAAACACTCCTCGCCACGCAGACCAGTAAGCTCACCCCCTTCAATTCTTTTATCGGAACAGTCTCCTTGCTCCTCGACTCACCTTCTGTTTCCCCTTCAGAACCGCCTCTGCAAACCCGTCCAGAGTTCCTCCACCATTTTGAGAACCCGCTGAACTTTTCAATAAAACTGTTAAACTTTCTCCTGTGTCCGGGTGTGTTCGCTCCAGAGTCTCCTAGAATCATGACAGAATCATCTGGCCATTCAGACTCTGCGGCACACCTGCGCACTGCTCTGTCCGAACAAGGCATCCTGTTGGGCCGACACGAAACGGCTCTCCAGAACATGTCTCAGCAACAGGATACGTTACTCCAAGGAATGAATCATCTCACTAAACTCTTTCATGATCTGAGTTCTAGGCTCCCCTCATCTGATCCACAACCGTCGGCACCAGTCCCGGTCCGCCGTGATCCTTCAGCATCGTCCGGTTTCCGTGATGCGGTTTCTCCGACTCCTAATCCGTTCTCTGGCGAGTTAGGTAAGGCAAAGGGCTTTCTATTGCAATGTTCCTTAGCTTTTGACCGCAGTCCCCACTCTTTTCAGACAGATGAGAGTAAAATTTCATATGTCATCTCCCTCCTTAATGACAAGGCTCTGCTTTGGGCCCAGGCTACTCTTGGCTCCGACAGTCTTTCAGATCACTCATTTGACTATTTTCTCGAACAATTTAAGCAGACTTTCTGCCCAAAAATTAGCGAGGAACAAGCCACCAAGAGATTATGGAATCTAAGACAGGGTAGTAGATCAGTAGCTGAGATGACAGTCGATTTCCGCATTTTGGCTGCGGAATCAGGTTGGAACGGTCCCGCGCTGAAAGGGGCGTTTCAACATGCGCTTAATGAGAATCTGAAAGATGAGTTGGCCAGCAGAGACGAGCCCGACACCTTGGATGAATTAATCAATCTCGCTATAAGGATCGACAACCGTCTTAGAGAGCGAGCAAAACTTAGAGGTCCGGGTCCCCGATTCCCTGCTCCGCGTCGGGCTGAACTAACTGCATCGCCGTCTCCTCTCGGGGTTTCGGCTCCGCCCCTTGTGTCCAGCGCACCGCCAAACTTGCCTCCCTCTGAGCCCATGCAGATCGGCCGTGCTCGGCTTTCTCCGGCGGAGAGACAGCGTCGTATGGAAGCTCGTTGCTGCCTATACTGCGGTTCCCCTGACCATTTCATTGCAGCCTGCCAGCTCCGCCCAAAAGAGTTTGCTCGTCAGTAAAAGTGGGGGTACTGACGGGCAACCTAAATAAAAGTAATCTTCGCCTCACGCTTTCCGCCACCATCCAAATTAATTGTCTTCAGGTCCAAACTAGTGCCCTCATAGATTCTGGTTCAGAGCAAAATTTAATTAGTGCTGGTTTTGTTCAACAACATTGCATTCCCATCCTAGAGCTCGATCATCCAGTGCAGGTTTCTGCATTAGATGGTTGTTCTCTTACTACAATCACCCATCAGACTGAAACGGTTAACCTAGTGGTTTCTGGTAACCACTGTGAAAAAATTACATTTTTGGTTTTCCCAGTCAATGATTCACCTGTAGTTTTAGGTTACCCCTGGTTGTCCCAGCACAATCCCTCCATCAATTGGTCCCAGGCCCGTGTGGAATCTTGGAGCCCTACCTGCATTCGCGAATGCCTCCATTCTGCCGTTCCCATTCAGGTTTCCTCCGTCCCAGAACATTCTGAGCCCACTGATCTCACTAACGTCCCCACAGAATACCATGATCTTCACAGGGTTTTTAGTAAGGAGCGTGCCCTCTCCCTTCCGCCTCATCGGCCCTATGACTGTTCCATAGACCTTCTCCCAGGGGCCCCTCTTCCCTCCGGTCGTCTGTTTAGCCTCTCAAAACAAGAACGTGAGACTATGGAGGAATACATTAACGATTCATTAAAAGCAGGCATCATCCGACACTCCACTTCCCCCATGGGAGCAGGCTTTTTCTTCGTGGGGAAAAAAGATGGAACCCTGAGGCCCTGCATTGACTATCGTGCCCTGAACAACATCACCATAAAGAACAGGTACTCCCTCCCTTTAATTGCTTCTGCTTTCGAGCCTGTCCAGGAAGCTCTATTTTTTACCAAGCTTGATCTCAGGAACGCTTACCATTTGGTCCGGATCAAGGAAGGGGATCGAGAGCTTCTGGCCATCAAGCTTTCCTTTGAGGAGTGGAGGCATTGGCTCGAAGGTACCGAGTTACCAGTAATCGTTTGGACTGACCACAAAAATTTGTCATATCTACAATCGGCCAAGCGTCTAAATCCCCGACATTTTCGTTGGTCACTGTTCTTCTCCCGTTTTAATTTTGTTATCACTTACAGGCCAGGCACCCGAAATGTCAAGCCAGACGCTCTTTCACGCCAGTTTTCACCCGACGATCCCTCTGAAGCCCCAGAACCCATCTTACCGGCCACATGTTTGGTGGGCAGTCTCACCTGGGACATTGAGAGACAGATCCACAAGGCCCAAGAGACTGAACCAGACCCGGGTGGGGGTCCCCCTAACCGACTCTATGTCCCCGCAAGTGTCCGGTCCCAGGTCATCCGGTGGTCACACTGCTCCAGGTTCTCCTGCCACCCAGGGGTGAGTCGTACCATAGCCTTTGTTCGCCGTTACTTCTGGTGGCCTGGCCTGAATAAGGATGTCACGAGCTATGTTACTGCCTGCACTACTTGCATTCGTAGTAAGAACTCTCACCGTCCACCTGCTGGGCTCCTGCAGCCTCTTCCAGTTCCAGCCCGACCATGGTCCCACATCGCGCTGGATTTTGTAACAGGTCTCCCCATCTCCAAAGGCAAGTCAGTCGTCCTCACTATAGTAGATCGTTTTTCTAAGGCATGTCACCTGGTCCCGCTGTCCAAACTACCCTCAGCTGCTACTACCGCTCGACTTTTGTTTCTCCACGTGGTCCGACTACATGGCATCCCATCTGAGATCCTTTCAGACCGCGGACCCCAATTCATCGCCAAAGTGTGGAAGGACTTCTGTCGCTCCATTGGGGCTGAACCCTGTTTGTCTTCTGGCTTTCATCCCCAGACAAACGGCCAATGTGAGAGGCTCAACCAGGAAGTCGAGGACACCCTCCGTTGCCTCTGTGCCGATAACCCTACATCATGGAGCCTCCACCTTCCTTGGGTTGAGTACTCTCACAATACTCACGTCTCTGCCGCCTCAGGTCTGTCTCCATTTGAGGCCTCACTCGGGTATCAACCACCTCTCCTTCCTGGCACCTTCCCCGATTCCATCACTCCCTCTGTCCGTTCTCACATGATGGCCTGCAAACGAGTTTGGAACCATACTCGGTCCGCCCTGCAGCGCACCTCAGCCCAAAACAAGAGGTATGCTGACCGGCGTCGCATTTCAGCCCCCGCATACTCCGTTGGTCAGGAGGTCTGGCTGTCATCCCAGCATTTCCCGCTCAAGGGCGCTCCCAGGAAATTGTCTCCCCGGTTTCTGGGCCCTTTCCCTATTGCTGCTATCATCAGCCCTTCAGCTGTCCGTCTGAGACTCCCTAGCCACCTTCGTGTTCACCCAGTTTTTCATGTTTCCCAGATCAGACCGGTATCCTCGAGCCCCCTGTTCCCTCCTGCCGATCCCCCTCCGCCCGCCCGGGTTGTTGATGGCCATCCCGCCTTCTCTGTGTCCCGGATCCTGGACGTCCGACCTCGGGGACGTGGTCGCCAATACTTGGTCGACTGGCTGGGTTATGGTCCTGAGGAACGCTCCTGGGTTCCTCGTTCTGCTATCCTGGATCCGTCCCTCATCCGTGACTTTGAGCGGTCTGTTGCCTCGACCTCTCGGGGTCGGCCGCCGGGTGGCGTCCGTTGAGGGGGGGGTACTGTGAGGTTCTGTGTGTGTGTGTGTGTGTGTGTGTGTGTGGTTCCTCACCTCTTCTCCTCAGGTGTGACAGGCAGGCCGCACCAGGTGCCATTGATCAGAGGCAATCAAGGTGGAGCACTTAAAGCTGGCCGGAGGAGGAAAGCAGATGCCAGATGATTAAGCCACACAGCTTGGTAATCAGGTCAGCTCTGTGTTTCCTTGCGCTTCCCAGTGTTTCGCTCACAAGTAATGTTTTGTCTCGCAGTAGTCCCGACCTTCTGAGTTCCCAGGATCTCCCAGCGTCTTCCCTGAACCGTGGTGTCTGCTTCACCCAGTGCTCCTCCTGGCTGCGGTGCTTCAGCCTTTTCATCCACGCCCTGTTGGATCCTCCTCTTCTCCACCTGCCTGTCCACCCTCGAGCCTCCAGCAAAATCTCAACCTCAGCCTGCCACACTCCCACACTGGACCTCACCTCCTCTCCAAACACTCCTCGCCACGCAGACCAGTAAGCTCACCCCCTTCAATTCTTTTATCGGAACAGTCTCCTTGCTCCTCGACTCACCTTCTGTTTCCCCTTCAGAACCGCCTCTGCAAACCCGTCCAGAGTTCCTCCACCATTTTGAGAACCCGCTGAACTTTTCAATAAAACTGTTAAACTTTCTCCTGTGTCCGGGTGTGTTCGCTCCAGAGTCTCCTAGAATCATGACAATTGCATCCTCAAGACGTGGTGCAAAAAGGAGATGCCCACCATCATCTCAAAGCCGTGGTGCATCTAAAGGCCGCGGTGCATCCAGAGGCCGAAGAAGTGCGAGACACTCAGCTGTGGACCTTGGAGATGAAGATCTCTCTCGAGTTCGGAATCTTCGTTCCGAGCGAATAGACTTTGAACGTGTAAGCATAACAAAATTACACTAAATTATCCTAAAAACTGTTGCTGTAGCATCTCTTTCCACTTTTGTAGCAACACATACAGAACCTGAACCCTCAGCAGGCTATTGACATCCTTACCATGGTGCTGGACAGAGACCCTGTTGTTCTCTTTGATGTACTTGCCCTCTCTGGTCCAAATGCCACAACACCTCCAATCAACCTTCATGGTGTGTATGCTCCCACTGCAGAGATATGCCAACTGATTTGGAAAAGAAATGCTGCCAAAAGCCTCCCCAGACATGTATTTCAACTGTACCACACATGGAGGAGTCTATTTTGCAAAATGGTGTTCTTCGCCTGGCCAGAACATTGTGGAATGAGTTTCGAGCAGTTTATGATGACCCGGACCCTGGTGAGGACAACAGACAGTTCCGCCATGCAGCTTACAGACAATTTGTAGCATGGCAGCATGGAAAACCTGGTGGAGGACGCAGAGTAGTAATCCCAAGCTGTGTTGTCTGGAGGATAAGGGAAAAATTCCCTGACCCCAATGGAAACTACACTGGTTTTATTCCAAGACGATTGTAAATAAATGTATATATTTGATATTTTACATAAGTTTTTTTTATATATATTTTTTTGTTTGATGCTCTAATAAAGTGTTCTAAAGCATAACTCTCTGTTGCATTTGTAAAAATACCATAAATTTTAAAACTCCTGCACAACAACAAAAACTTATGTCTACCTCCAGCATTTTGCATACATTTTTAAATTATTAGTCCTTATTTCCCCAAAATATATCTTTATTTAAAATAAATAAATAAATAAAACACAGGAAACAAAAATAAATAAGGTTTTGGGTTTTCTCTTGCCTCCCCCAACACCTATGTCTGTGGCAAAGTTTTACCTGTAAATAAAAAATAAACTCGATTAGCAATGGACTATTGCGTGGAAGATGTAAGACAGATAATGTTTTATTTTACCATCACCGCAAGTCCGTAGGTGTTGTAGAAGTTCCTCTGTTGATGGTGCAGGGACTCCGGACAGCAAACCGTAACGCCTTGGATACTCAGGCCTTAGCTTGTAGCGTCGAGGAAGACCTTTCTTGCTTGTCAAACGTTGGTTGACGATCATGGTTTCTTAGTTTCACCTTGTTCCATCACCTCCTCCAAATTATCATAGCTATGAAAATAAAATACAAGCACAAGAATATGATTAGAATCAATACATATTTTATCATTTTGAAGCTAATAGACCTCGTCTATTGGCCGTCATCATCACCCTCTCCTTATTTTTCTCCCTCTACTTATTACGCATTTCTCTGTATCCACTGAATTCCTTCTTTACAAATAATTTCCTGTCTCTTTACATTTTAAAAACACAATTGTGTTATTTTTTTCTCATAAACGTTGACATAAAAATATAATTTTTTAAAATATGTTTAATTTTGTTGTGAAGTGCCTCAAGAGTTTTATCTTGAGAGTCGCTATATAAAATGTAGTTTTACTATTTATTTCTATACATTTTTTATAGTCATTCGTTATACCATTTCTAGAATTTTTTCAAAATAATCCACCACTAACTTAAAACAAACAGAGGCAAAATTATAATATTCCTGGTAGAGGTTTTTACGCAGCTATTTACCTTTCAGATGACTCTCCATGAATGCTAGACAGAGCTGGCACTGGTGTTGGAGAAATAAACAGTTGGCGTTTCAATGGTGTAGATGTTGATGCTTCATATTTGGACTGATGACTGTAAAAAACAAAGCCCAAAAATTAGTGATCACAAGCTAAACATATCTCCCCAGCCTTCACAGATTTTTGCACGAGCTGATTATCATTACTTTTATTTTAATATGGAGTTTTCACATAGGTAAGACCACAAACTCAGACAATAATCTGTACACGTGGCCCACCCAGGTTAGTGCAATATGTCTTTCGGTGCTAATGGAAACGTAAGGTTTTGGATACATTCCTCATCAATCACACCTAATTCTATCTGCTGAATCATCTCCTCAGACTTCTACAAGTGCTACATGAGCTGCTGATTACTCATTTTAATCAAACACGCAGCTCAGGAAAGTGTAAACATCTAATTCAGCATTCAAGATGCTAACCGAACCCCGCTAACGGGGAAGTTATAAACAAGAGCTTAAAACAATACACTGATATGGCCTATAGTTAAACGCCACACTAATCATTAGCTCCCATATAAAAAAAACTAAAATCCCCTTTCGTTACTCAAACTTCTTCCAAATATAGCATAACTAGTTCGACTAGCATCGATTCATGTTGACTTAGCATTCAAGCTAATGCTACATTAGCCAATAGGACACAAAGCATACAAAGCTTGTTTGCTCTATTACTTCTTTCAGTGAAAGAAAGATTATAAGTAAATTTATCCGAAAAACAATAAATAACTTACCTGTCCAAAAGATACTTTTTTTTTTTACCGTGTCCTGTCTGGCTGTGAAGCAAGCAGAATTGATGTCTGAATGCTGGTGACAAGCCTTACAGATTTATTCTCAGGTGGAGCATCAAAGCGTTGGCTTCTAATGTCACGCCTGATACTTAAAAGTTTATTGTTATTGTTGTTGAATGCTTTGTAATTCCGACCAGACACGGAGACAGAGGTGAAAGAGAAAGGAAGAGAAAAGGTGGAGAGAGAGGAGGGGGGGGGGGGGGGGGGGTGGTTCCACAAAAATAAACAATGAACAAGAGTCTGCTTCTAAACCTGCAGAAAAAGACAAAAAAAACAAAAGGACACAAAAAAGGGACACAACAACAATACAAATCTACCTATCACTGCGTCAACTTGATGAAAAAAACACAAAAAAACTATATATATATATATATATATATATATATATATATATATATATATACATACATATAAAATCAACATTGCTTAACTGAAGAATCACGATAATAAATCACAATGCATTAAGTGCCCCCCATAGTCTTAAGACATGTGTTGAACGTGCCCAAGCCCAAAAGATACTTTGCCAACTCTTCATCCGTTTTCAGGGCGTGTAGATCACGAAAATCTCTCCATCGTGTGTAAAACAATCTCCAATGTAAATTCTACTCGACTGTCTCAAACGTGTTACAGCCACTTTTGAAGAAGGGCTTTTAAACTTTTTAAATGTTTTTCAGGGTTTCTGCAGGGCATTAAAAAGCATTAAGTCATTAAATGAAATTTTCTAAAATTAAGGCCTTAAATGGCATTAAAAAGCATTAAATTAGATTGTCAGTGGCATTACATTTTTTCAAGAAATATTCTTAAATAATTTTAATTTTTTTGTCTTTATTGTGATTTGTTGTGAAATTGTATGAAACGTATGTTTGAGTCAACACGCTGGCAGAACCATTTCGATTATTACTTCTGTTCCAACCGGTTTCTTGTTGAATTGTCATAAAACCGGATGTTCGACAAGAAGCTGGATCGTGAGGAGTAAACGTTTGGAAAATGGGGAAATGCAAATTCCAGCAAAAGTGGTTGGAAAACGATAAATTCAAGGTATGGCTGCAGCCCGTTAATGGTCAAGATGGAGAAGGATTTTGTACTGTTTGTAAAAAAAAAAAAAAATTAAAGTTAAAGTTCCATTAGTTGTCACACACACTGATGTGTGTGCGAAATTTGTTCTCCGCATTTGACTCATCCCCTGGGGGAGCGGTGAGCTGCAGACACGGCCGCGCTCGGGAACTATTTGGTGGTTTAACCCCCCAATCCAACCCCTTAATGCTGAGTGTCAAGCAGGGAGGCATTGGGTCCCATTTTTTCAGTCTTTGGTATGACCCGACCAGGAATCGAACCCTGATCTCCCAGTCTCAGGGTGGACACTCTACCACTAGGCCACTGAGCTGGTTGTATTAAACTTGGTACAATGGGTGTGAACGCTGTGAAATCTCACATGCAGTCGGACAAC